TGAAGGGTGGGTGAGGAGTTTGTTTAATGGGTAGACAGTTTCAGTTTTGCAAGATGAAAAAGTTCTGATATTGGTTACATGATAATATGAAATGTGCATGTACTTAATACTATTGAATTGTACACATAAAAATGGTTGAGATGCGTCCAGCTGGGGTGGCTCAGTGGTTGAGCGTCGACCTCTGCACCAAGAGGTCACTGGTTCGGTTCCCGGTCAGGGCACATGCCCAGGTTGTGGGCCAAATCCCCAGTGGGGGGCATGCAGGAGGCGGCCAATCCATGTTCTCTCTCATCTATCTTTCTGTCTCTCTTTCTCTTCTTCTCTCTCTAAAATCAATAAAGAAAAAAACAAATTATTTTAATGGTTAAGATGGTAAGTTTTCCGTTACGGTCGGGAGTGTATTTTATCACAATTAAAAAAAAACTTGAGGACTTTTGGAATGTATTATCTGTGTAAAATAAAACCGGACAGAGAGGAAATAAATGAACATTTAAGAAGTTAATGGGTGTTGGCAGTCTGCAATTTGATTGCGAAGTCCTCACTGGGAAGTGAGTTTGGACTAAGACACACTGAAACGGGGAAGTGACCTGTGCGTCTATTTGGAGACCAAGATCCCAGGCGGAGGAATTAGCAGGTGCTAAGCCCGAGGCAGAGATTCTTGGCAAAAGCACAGAGGGCGCGGGTGAGAGCTCACGAGAAAGGGAGGGCGTGGGCTGATCCTTGGTGACTCTTCTTCCTCGGACAGGGGACGGCAGGTCCGGGCGGGGCCTGAGAGCACCGGCGAGATCCCTGAGACATCGCTGAAAAGATGCTGTGTCCACTGTGTGGACAGTGGCCACCATAAGGCCGTCGGGCAGAAGGAGGGAGTCCCGTCAGGGGACCGTGATACTCGTGTGAGAGCTGATGGTGGCCTGGGTTGGGGTTGGAGCTGCAAGTGATGAGAAGCGATGAGACCTGGTCTGTGCCGAGGGTCCAGCCGACATGTAGAAGGGGCTGTGACATGTCTTCTATCTCTGACGCTCAGGTGGAATCAGGAAATTGCTAGGTACCCATCAGAAGGCTAATTCTGAGATGGGTGGGTGGGTAGGGAGCGAGGGGAGCCCCGGACCCTGGGAGGGAAAGCAGCTGATGAAGCAGGGAGTGGGCGGAGAAGCCATGTGTGGTGGCGAATCCGGGGCAGCTGACCCGGAAAAACTTCCAGGGAAGAAATTCCAGAAACTTCGGTCACGGTCTGTGCTCTCAGTGAAGGTGAAGGACGAGCTCCTTTTCCATGTTTAAAACGTGTAAGCGTGGCGTCCCCACGCAGCAGCTAAGTCTGGGGTGCGGGACCCCGTCTTGCCAACCGTGCGACCCCAGCGCCAGAATCGAGACCACGTGCAGGAGATGGAGACCAGGCCCAGAAGCCAGCTGCCCACCGGCTGCCTCGGCGACGGGAGGCTCAGGGAACTTGGACTGCTGTGTCTCAGAGAAGGGACAGAACTGGAGAGAAGCCAAGAAGCAGCAGGTGGGAACCGAGAGGCCGAGAGGAGCAGGGAGGGGCCGGAGGGAAGGTCTTCTTGGGAACCTGTGAACACGGCCAGCCTGAAAAGATACCAGTGGAGACCTTTCAGGAAATAACGTGTCCTGGGCAGTGGCCACCCTACCTCAGCCTCCCCTGAACCCTTCAATAAACGGACATTTCTTCCTCTTGGCCATAATGAAGGGACAAAGAACTTCCTTGTGATTTGTGCAAAAATAGAAGACTCACCCGGCCAGTGTGGCTCAGTGGTTGGGTGTCGACCCTGCACCAAGAGGTCCTAGGTTCGATTCCCGGTCAGGGCACATGCCCAGGTTGTGGGCCCGATCCCCAGTGGGGGGCATGTAGGAGGCGGCCAGTCAATGTTCTCTCTCATCGATGCTCCTCTCGCTCTCTCTCCCTCTCCCTTCCTCTCTCTCTAAAATCAATAAAGAAACTATGTTTAAAACCTTAGCGTTGGCAAACCTTCGGTCCGGTGTGTGTGCAGGAAGCACAGCTGGGAGCTCTCTCCCGAAGGCGCCCGGCTCCCCAGGTGAAGAAGGACAGTGGGACCTCCATGAATATTGCCAGGAAGAGAAAGAGACTGGACGTGCTGTGAAACGCACGAGCAGCTGCTCTGGAAGATCACGAACACCTGGGTGGGCCTTCCTGCCGCCAGTTCCCGACCGCGTTCCCTCGTCTCTGCTTCGCGAGCGAGAACAGGAGGAATTGGAAAGAATGGGTTTGGGGCTGGTGGTTTTGTCTTTTTAAAAAAATTTTATTTTTTTGTTTCTCTATTTATCATCAGATAGAGTGGAGGGAGGGAGAAAGAGAGACAGAGAGAAACGTCGATGTCCAAGAGACACATCGACTGGTTGCCTCCCGCATGACCCGACCAGGGCCGGGGACGAACCACAGCCGAGGCGTGTGCCCTTGACCGGGATTGAACCCGAGACTCATTGTTCTGCGGGCCGACGCTTTAACCGCGGAGCCAAACCGGCCAGTTGTTTTGTCCTTTTTAGAAAACACCTCCTTTGTCTTTATCATTACAGATTGGTGTAGGGTCGATGGCACAGCGCTTGACACTCAGGAGGCGCTAAGAACATCGACTCTGATTGTGCAGCGGCTCTGCCCAGGGTCCTGCGTATACTTGTTTTCCGTCCCGAAGCTTCTTTTACCTTTCTTGCTGGTCTGCGGTTATGTTTCACATCCAGAGCAGTGCAGTTGGCATATAGCCAAATGAGCTGTTCTAACCCCCTTTCGTCTGTGAACGAACCCACAAATCAAATATTTGCTCAGCCCGCTCTCTTTGGTCAGGAGCTGATAGCTGTGCGTCCAGGTGTCTCTCCTCGGCCGTGGGCCGGCACTCAGATGAATGTAAGCGCTGCCTTTGGCTGAGGACTGGAGAGCTAAGACCTCGGGATCCAGAGCTCGGCTGGGACTGGCCTCTGGAGCCACCGAGGGCCCCTCCCCTGCTGCTGTTCCAGGATCTTGCCCTGGACTTAGGCGGGACCTGCTGGTGGAAGAGAACACGGGGAGCAGAGTGGCATTTCTCTGTGGCCTGGAGCGTGTCTGACGCCAGGCTGTCTGGAGACTGGAGGGCGCCCTCCTCATTGCACCCCTCTCTGTAAGACAGAGCAGTCATCCGTCTGGTAAGTTCTAGTCGGGGGCCAGGGGTAGGTAAGAAGAGAAGATCCTATGGCCAGAGACAGAAATGTTCAGGACAGGTTTGTGACACGAGCAGAGGTGTTTCTGGTTTGTTTGGTATGACGCCTCCCGCCCCCCAAAGTTAGCACTTCTCCCTAAAGTTCTCCTGAATGCAGAGGATTCTGGGAACAACATGCAAGCAGGTAAGGCTGAGGTGCGTATCTTGGACACATCTCTTTTCTTCGCCCATCCTCACCCCCCTACCCTTTGGCAACCATCCGCTTAGTCTCTGACTACAGGGGTGTTTCTGTTTTGTTCATGCATCTGTTTTGTTACTTGCTAGACTCCACATGTAAATGCAGTCATATGGTATTTGTCTTTCTGCATCTGGTTATTTCACGTGGCAGAATGTCCTCCGGGTTCATCCGTGTTGTTGTACATGGTGAGACTTCATTCTTATGTGGTGGAGACACATTCCACTGTGTGAATGTACCAATCTCTATCCACTCGTCTATCAGCCGACGTCTTACCTGCCCGGAGCTGCAGCCATGCCAACCCCCCTCAGAGTTGGCCTCTTAGGGGTGTCCTGCAGGTCTGGGGGAGCCAGTGCTCGCTGAGTCTCACGCCCCGAAGGTGCCAAGGAGTTAGTCTTGGCCCGAGTTGTGCTGCCTCGGAGGATGGGGGGCATGGGGTGGGTGAAACTGCCCTGCCTCGTTCTTCCAGCGTGCATTCCTGGGTGTTTTATCCCTGGGTCTGTGCTCCCACAAAGGTACTCTCGTCCACTGGTGGTTGTCAAAACTGGTGTTTCTGCCATCTTGCTAATGTCATTCTTTGAAATGGAAAGTGTTTAAAAGCAGAATGAGAGTGTTATCTAGGTAGATAAGTATAGGTGGGTGAGCACAGGTAGGTGAGTACAGGTGGATGAGTACAGGCGGGTGAGTACAGGTGGGTGATTACAGATGGGTGAGTACAGGAGGGTGACTATAGGCAGGTGAGTACAGGTGAATGAGTACAGGCAGGTGAGTACAGGTGGATGAGTATAGGCGGGTGAATACAGGCGGGTGACTACAGACGGATGAATACAGACGGGTGAGTACAGGTGAATGAGTACAGGCAGGTGAGTACAGGAGGGTGACTACAGGCGGGTGAGTACAGGTGAATGAGTACAGGCGGGTGGGTACAGGCGGGTGGGTACAGGTGGGTGAGTACAGGCGGGTGAGTGCAGGCGGGTGAGTACAGGCGGGTGACTACAGGTGGGTGACTACAGGTGGGTGACTACAGGTGGGTGACTACAGGTGGGTGACTACAGGTTGATGAGCACCTATGCAAGGCTCCTGACATTTGGGAGAAATGAGGTACTTCATAATTTTCTGGTGAATCACGGTCCACTGACTGTCCAAAATCTTGAAAACATGGGCTCTGTAGCTTAGGTGATTCACACGCTCCAAAAGCAGCCTCCGGGGGTGACTAACAAGCGCACAGCGTGGCCTGCTTGATCTTAACCATCGTGGCGTAAGGAAGTGTGTATGCCTAATTTGGGGAAGGGAAGTTTTCAAAGTGAATACATGTGTTATGGAATCCATTTCATTTCCAACAAATTAAGCAGGTGCTCATTGGTCCCCTGACCTGGCGGGGCCTCCCCATGCAGGTAGCTCGTCTGTTCACTAAAGATCACCCCGCTGGACCGTGATTTAGGGAAGACCCAGGGTCCGTCCCAGGCAATGTGGGGTCGTTTGCACATGTGTGCTACTTCACTGTGCAGCTATGATAAAGCCTGTGGAACATCAAGTCACTGTCACCGCTCTCTGAGGGACACATGGAAACTCAGTCTCCCGTGGGAAACCCACCTGATCTTTGTGCTTCCCTTCTGTCTGCACCTAGCAACATGCCCTCCATGTTCGAGGACACTACCATGAAATTGGTCAAACAAATCGGAGACAGTGAACTCAGGCCTGTCAAAAGCTTGCTGGATGCCACCAAAATACGCCCGTTTTCTCTGATACGGAGGAACAAGCCTCGCTCCCTGTTTTGGAAACCATCTGATGTTCCTCTTGACATCTCCGTCATGCACATCCTCAAACCAAGTTCTTCGGTCCCAGGTAACGTCAGCGGGGCAAGGGCTGCAAAACAAGGGAACAGGGAGGAGGGGTGCAGCCCCTCAGACACACTGAGACACCCACACAGGCTGACCTCGGGATGGTCTCGCTTACAGGCAAGGGGAAGGAACTAGGGTTATCTGAGAACTTACTAGTTATAAACCAGGTTCATTCAATGCCGAGAGCAGCCTCTTGAGTCAGGAATCTGACCCCATTTTACGTAACAGTAAATGAAAGCTTATAAAATAATTTGTTTCAAGTTACATACCTGGGAACTGGTAGAACTCAGACTCAAACCCAAGTCCGCCTGGCTCCAAATCCCAGACGTTTTCTGCTTGGTGAGCTGCCTCCTGGGGCTGATGCTGTGCCTGGGAGGGTGACGGTGTGGTCCCCTGTGCCCGGTGCAAGTGACATCACTATTTCTTAGGGTGAGGACACCATCCCTGCTATCCAGCCACTGGGTGGGTTCCAACATTTGTCCTCAGGAGTAATTTACACTCAAAATATTAGCTGATGAGTTAGCTTCTAGGCTGAGTGATTTAAATGAGGGGGGCCTCGGGGCAAGCGAGCGCTCAGCCGTCCCATGCCCATCCCCTTCCCAGCTGTCCCAGCGTGAATTCTCCGTTAATCCTCGAGCCATCTCGTCTGCTTCCAGATGCTGCTGGCAAAGTGCCTTTCCAATTCAGGGACCGTGTGGCCAAGCAGCTGCAGGGGTCTGGAAGCGTGACTGCGGGGCCCCAGGTGAGCTTACTGGGGAGCATCGCTGAGAGCCAAGGAGCCTCCCTTGAGTGTCAGATTGTTACCCACCGCGACACAACCTGGGAAGACCTGCAACAGAGGTGAGGCCACAGGGAGGACGCATCCGGTCCACAGGCCCCACGTGGGGCCTCCTCCCGGGCAAGGAGGCGTCTGGTAGATTTCATTCCCGAATGAAGAAAACCGCCTCCCAGACGCCGCCGCTCTTCTGGGCCAGTCATACATCCATTCCTCCAGCTAGTGGTTGTTAGTCACCCAACACGTGTTCACCGAAACTGCAGTTGTCCATTGCTATGCTATTCAAAAAAAAAAAAAATTGTTTTCCTTTATTGATTTTAGAGAGAGAGGAAGTGAGAGGGACAGAGAGATAGAAACGTCGATGAGAGAGTTAACAAAGCGTTCATTTGAGCGAGACCCGGTCTCTGAAACTCCGCTTAAACAAAGTGCCCCGGCGCCTGGGATTCCACTTACCTCGGTGCCTGCGGGGTAGACCTTTTGGGAACAGATTGCAATCGAAAGTCTTTCTGTCGATGTGAAGAATTACTCACATAAGCAACTGGTTACAATCACAGGCTATTTAGAGACTAAAAGTAACTTTGACAGGGCATGGCACAATTTCTGTAGTCTTCTAAGACTCTTGTTAGAACTAACACTAGCTGCAGAATAACAAAATAACGTTTGTTCTGGAAATTTCCTCTAACAGTTTAAGAGGCTGCAATTGCAGGGATATATTTTAATATCTAGCACCGAGAAAATGAAGGATGGTCCGGCTGGTGTGGCTCAGTGGCTGAGTGTCCACCCGTACAGCAAGGCAAGGGGTCGCTGGTTCGATTCCTGATCAGGGCACAAGCCCAGGTTGTGGGCTCGATCCCTAGTGGGGGACATGCAGGAGGTGGCCAGTTCATGTTCTCTCTCATCGATGTTTCTATCTCTCTCCCTTCCTCTCTCTTTAAAATCAATAAAGAAAAAAAAAAAAAGAAAAAAAAGGAAAGGAAGTAAGCCTGAGGGCAGAACTTGAAATGTGAAAAGTAAGGTGATTCGACACTTTTCACTATGGATGTGGGCACATAACGTGTTTCCTAAAGGCAGTCACAGACCATGGGGGGAGCTCTGAGGGTTTGGGGGAAGAAGGCTGAGTGCAAGGGGTCTGTTTAAGTCTCTCTGTGGAGCGAACAGTTGAACTCAGACCGGAAGAATACAAGAAGCAAAGAGCAGGAGGAAAGGGGTCCAAACAAGGGGCTTGAGCCCCGGATGGACAGGACCAAGCTTGGCGTTTGCAGGAGCAGTGGGAAGTTGGGGGGGGGGTGAAGGTAGAGAAGTGGGGCATGCAGGTAAGTCAATGTCAGATGACATTGGGAAGGGAAGGGAAGGGAAGGGAAGGGAAGGGAAGGGAAGGGAAGGGAAGGGAAGGGAAGGGAAGGGAAGAGAGGTGAAGGGAAGGGAAGGGAAGGGAAGGGAAGGGAAGGGAAGGGAAGAGAAGTGAAGGGAAGGGAAGGGAAGGGAAGAGAGGGGAAGGGAAGGGAAGGGAAGAGAGGGGAAGAGAGGGGAAGGGAAGAGAGGGGAAGGGAAGGGAAGGGAAGGGAAGGGAAGGGAGGTGAAGGGAAGGGAAGGGAAGGGAAGGGAAGGGAAGGGAAGGGAAGGGAAGGGAAGGGAAGGGAAGGGAAGGGAAGGGAAGGGAAGGGAAGGGAGGTGAAGGGAAGGGAAGGGAAGGGACGGGAAGGAAAGGGAAGGGAAGGGAGGTGAAGGGAAGGGAAGGGAAGGGAAGGGAAGAGAGGGGAAGAGAGGGGAAGGGAAGAGAGGTGAAGGGAAGGGAAGGGAAGGGAAGGGAAGGGAAGGGAAGGGAAGGGAAGGGAAGGGAAGGGAAGAGAGGGGAAGAGAGGGGAAGAGAGGGGAAGGGAAGGGAAGGGAAGGGAAGGGAAGGGAAGAGAGGTGAAGGGAAGGGAAGAGAGGGGAAGGGAAGGGAAGAGAGGGGAAGGGAAGGGAAGAGAGGTGAAGGGAAGGGAAGGGAAGGGAAGGGAAGAGAGGGGAAGGGAAGGGAAGGAAAGAGAGGTGAAGGGAAGGGAAGGGAAGAGAGGTGAAGGGAAGGGAAGGGAAGAGAAGGGAAGGGAAGAGAGGTGAAGGGAAGGGAAGGGAAGGGAAGGGAAGGGAAGGGAAGAGAAGGGAAGGGAAGAGAGGTGAAGGGAAGGGAAGGGAAGGGAAGGGAAGGGAAGGGAAGGGAAGGGAAGGGAAGAGAAGGGAAGGGAAGGGAAGGGATGGGATGGGAAGGGAAGGGAAGGGAAGAGAAGGGAAGGGAAGAGAGGGGAAGGGAAGGGAAGGGAAGGGAAGAGAGGTGAAGGGAAGGGAAGGGAAGGGAAGGGAAGAGAGGGGAAGGGAAGGGAAGGGAAGAGAGGGGAAGGGAAGGGAAGGGAAGGGAAGGGAAGAGAGGTGAAGGGAAGGGAAGGGAAGGGAAGGGAAGAGAAGGGAAGGGAAGAGAGGGGAAGGGAAGGGAAGGGAAGGGAAGAGAAGGGAAGGGAAGAGAGGGGAAGGGAAGGGAAGAGAGGTGAAGGGAAGGGAAGGGAAGGGAAGAGAGGGGAAGGGAAGGGAAGGGAAGAGAGATGAAGGGAAGGGAAGGGAAGGGAAGAGAAGGGAAGGGAAGGGAAGGGAAGGGAAGAGAGGGGAAGGGAAGGGAAGGGAAGAGAGATGAAGGGAAGGGAAGGGAAGGGAAGAGAGGGGAAGGGAAGGGAAGGGAAGAGCAGGGAAGGGAAGAGCAGGGAAGGGAAGGGAAGGGAAGGGAAGGGAAGGGAAGGGAAGGGAAGGGAAGGGAAGAGAGGTGAAGGGAAGGGAAGGGAAGGGAAGAGAAGGGAAGGGAAGGGAAGGGAAGGGAAGGGAAGGGAAGAGAGGTGAAGGGAAGGGAAGGGAAGAGAGGGGAAGGGAAGGGAAGTATGCGTACTCTGCATGTCCATGTCTCTATGTCTTAGAGACGCAGCTTGAATGCCCCGAAGGGTGATAGGAAACCCTCCCTGGAGGCTCAGTGACCTCCTCTGTGAAAAGCGATGTAAGGGTGGCTCCGCAGCCCACCCGGCGCTCATCCAGGGTGCCGACCCGGGGGGCCTGAAGTAGAACCAGAGCGGAGTCTGAGGGTGACATGGAGATGACCTGTCTTCAGTACTCAAGCCTGACACATCCCTGCCCAAACCTAGCATGACGGAGAAGGCATCTCTTCCCACCCCGACCCTTCTGCCCCCAGGACACTGAAGGACCCCGAGCCGTGCTTTCTGAAGCAGTGCCGGGAGGCAGGGGTGAAACTGTACGTGGTGACCGAGACCGTGGAACTGGTCAAAGGCTGTGTGCTGGAGGATTGCAGCAGTGTGGACCTCTGGGGGAAATTTTCCGTCCCTTGGAATACATTTGTCAAGGTATGACATGGGGACACCTACTGATAAAATAGGAACTGGATTTAGTTAGGTGGTGTTACATTTGCTTTGGCTAAGTGGTGGATTCTGGCAAAGCACGGGGGGCTGCAGTGTGCATGTATGCGTACTCTGCATGTCCAGTTCCATGCTGGAGGAAACGAGGCACCGCTAACACCAAGCCTCAGCCGGTGAAGTTCCCTAGTGCCATGGCGCCCCGGGAAGCATGATAGGAGGAGGGAGACCTAAATCCCTCAAGGCCACAGAACTGTAACTCACAGTAACCAGTGAGAGTATGAACCACTTTCATGTATCCAATAGTTTGTGTGTGTTACAATGTTTGAACCAAGCGAAACATTGCTCCAGTGGAAAGGGCATGTTGACCTTCGGCTTTGGGGTTCCGCCTGCTTGGGCTTCCAGAGAACAGGGGGAGCCCCGAGTCATTTCCCTGGGGCTGCTGTCACAGCTGTTCACAGCCAGCACGAGTCTAAGTGTTGGCCACGGGGCTGTGATGTCATTAAACAGTTTGCATATCACCCCTGGTTCATGGCTGTGTCGATGGAGGAAATATTCAAACGAAAAAGAAGAATTTTTGTGAGTTTATTTGAGCCCAAACTGTCGACAAATGCCAGGAAGCAAAGCCTCCGCGGACTGAGAGCACGCTCCAGAGAGTGGCCCCTTATTTTATACACGACAATCCAAAGAGAAACCCACTGTGACAGATGAGGGAGGCAGGAGAAAGCAAAGCGGGGAACCCTGTGGGTTTGGATGAAAAGTAAAATGATGGACACACACATTTTTGCATGGGGTGCAGGACAGTCAACAGTCAGCCATGAACTCGGTAACAATGAGGGGGGTCTGTGGTCTCCGCAGAGCGGTGCTGTGAGGGGTCCGGAAAAAGGAAATTACTTGGACATTCCAAAGACATGTTACCGTAGATGCAAAAAGACAATAGGCAGGCTCAGTTAATTTAAAGACTGACCTTTATCAGGGAAGATGCTGGCCCAGGACATGACTACCTGCCATAAACTGCTTTTAAATATATATATATATATATATATATATATATATATATATATATATATATATTTTAATCCTCACCCAAGGATACTTTGTGCATTTATATTCAGATAGAGTGAGAGGGAGAGAGGGAGAGAGAAACATCAATGTGAGAGAGACACATCGATTGGTTGCCTCTCGCACGATCCTGACCGTAATCAAACCCACGACTCTTTGGTCCTTGGGCCGATGCTCTAACCACTGAGCAGACCCGGCCAGGGCCATAAACTGCTTTTAGCTAAAAAGTCTTGGTTTCAGACCATCTTTGTGGCTACTTCAGGTCTTTGAGTTTGCGAGGCCACCACGCAGGCCTCCCCGGAGCGTGTCAGGTGGGCACGCGGCCCTTCCCGTCCACAGCTGCATCGGTTTTGCTTTGGTCAATCAGACAAATGATCAATAGGGAAACAGGACTCGAATGGCAGAAGAAGTGAACTCTGCTCCCTGACAGACGCAGACGGAGCATGTGCAGGTGGCGTACACACCCCGCCGCGTACACACCCCGCCACGCACACCCGGGATTCCCGTCGAGCCCACGCGGGGGGCGGCCCCCGTCGGCCTTGCCAATTCAAGGAGGCTGACGTTCACCACCTGTCTTTTCTGGCCACAGCGGAATGAAACTGGAGATCAAAAACCAAAGGAAAACTAACACATTCATTAATATATAGACATTAAGACGTACACTCTTGAACCTCTAGTGGTTCAAAGAAGATACCCGCAAAAAAGATTAAAAAATGGAAACAATCCTGTCTGTATATTACATCACTTTGACCACAATAGAAATTAAATGGGAGAGCTGCTTGGAAGGCTAGGAGCGGCTGGGGTTGTCCCTTTCATCAATTCCTTTGGCTCCTAGAAAGAGTAGAAGAATGAAACCCTCATCATCCCAAAGAGAAAGTGACTAGATTATACTTGAATCTGAAAAAAAGCAAATCATTGCAGCATCAATATGAAATCGAGGGATGCGAAGGTCAATGGGGGATAAAGCAAAGAAGAAAGGGCAGGAACTAGAAGTCAGGAGGAGAGAGGGTGAGGGCCAGAGGGGGGGGGGGCTGCTGGATCCGGTTCTCGTGAGCTTTCCAGATGTATTGACTTTAAAGCCGCATGAAGGTTTGACCGGTGTCCCGTTTCTGTCCTCAGACAGACGGACAGGGAGGGGCTCGCCGAGTGAGCCAGAGGGAGCTGACTGTGCCCGCGGGCTCCGCGATGGCCTATAAGAGGAAGCAGCTGGTTTTCCTGGGGAACACCTGTGGTGAGCAGACGCTGAAGGAGGCTGGTGGGGAGCAGGGCTCTGTTTCTCCTGGGAAGGGAGCCTCGGATCCTCCACCTGTTCGGAGACACAGCCTTTCTCAGCCGCCAGCACACACCCCACAGCCACCCCCAAGCACGGCCGGCTGAAATGTGTCTGTGGGCAGGTAGAGCCAGGATCCTCCATCGAGGGGGACAAAAGGGTGCCCAGCGCAGATGTGTGCTTCACCCTGGCTGAAGTGTGACCCTAATCCCGGCCACCACTAGTCCAGTTCCTGCTGGGGGAGCCCAGAGTCCTCAGGGGTGACCCATAACCCCACGGCGAAGCCGGGAAGATACCAGCACACCACGAACAAAACTGCAGACGCGAGGCCTTAGCCATGCAGGGCTGTATCTGCGTCTCTCCCTCCCGCACCTCAAAATGCACCGTTCCCCAGCACACACCGGGGTTCCTACTCCTCACTGGAGAACCATTTGCATGGAATAACAACCGCAGACCAGGGTCGAACAGTGGGTGCTGTGAACACAACCAGCTCAGGGCCCGGGACGGCCACTTGTTGTCTCAGGTCGAGGTCAGCCCAAGGCAGCTGTGGTCCCGATCCTCAGAGAGCAGGGGTGCACTCACAACACATAACACTTCCCGTTTCACACACACACACGCGCGCACACACAAGCATGCACACACGCACGTGCACACGCACAGACACGCACAGACACGCGCGCACACACACACACAAGCACGCACACACGCATGCACACGCGCACGTGCACACGCACAGACACGCGCACACATGCACACACGCACTGCTCCCTGTAGGATCCCTGCTGTAACAGCTGGTTAAGGGAGGGTTCTGCTCAGTGGCAATAGCTAGAACAAGGCTAAACTCTCCAATCCTGTGGGGTCAGTGGCTCAACTTCATCTTCAAAAATATGTTGTATAAGTGCTGGCAAATATGACCTAAATGGAGTTGAACTCACAAGGCTCCCACAGCAGTAATGCAAGTCATGTGCTGCCCACTAGGGGGTATGGGGCACTTGCCTTTCTCCACTGTTCCAAAGGGTGACCAGAAGGAACCTTCACAAGGAATGGCCCCGAGCGGTAAACGCTGCACTTTCATGAGCGAATTTCAGAATTTCATCTTCGTAGTAGGTCGGAGAGGGAAAGAATCTGAGGAACGGTTCAGTAACGTGCCACAGCCCTGGTGTGCGGCCTTGGAGGACATCAGCATTCCTCGGCCACCCTCTTACCTACGAGGGAATGACACCTTCTCTCCAGGGCACGTGCAGATGGACATGTGGCTAAGTGTCTGAGCCAAGTTTCTCTCCACTCTCTCTACCCCCTGGGCCCTTCCCACGGCCCGGTGACAAGACCAGGTCTCTGCCATCTCAGGAACCCCTCACCCAGCGTCCACTCTTCCCGCGGTCTGTTCCCTCACCACAACTTCCTTAAAGAATCTTCTACACTCTGCTCCCTCCCTCCCTGGTGTCCAGGCCTCGGCCCACTGCAGTCTGTCCCCCCGCAAATTTACTCCCCGTTGTCATCAACAACCACACACGCGACTATTCCCTCCTTTGTGTTGTTGCTGTTGATCCTCACCCAGGGATTGTATTTCCATTGATTTTTAGAGAGAGTGGAAGGGAGGGAGATGGGGAGGGAGAGAGACATTGATGTGACTCACATTGATTGGTGGCCTCCTGCACGTGACCCCGCCGGGACTGGGGATAGAACCTGCAACCCAGGTACATGCCCTGGACCCAGAATTGAACCCGAGACCCTTTGTGGCTCGGGCTGATGCTCTAACCACCGAGCACAGCAGGCAGGACAATGGGGTCTCCTGCTGTGGGACCCCTTCCTTCATGGGCCCCTGTTTCCGTCCAGCACTTACTTCCGATCGTTAGACGTTTCGGAACTTGGAACATTTCTGTACGTGAAAGGTGAGCCACCAAGCAGAGGGCGGGAGACACGTGAAGGAGGAGCCCGGAGAGTGAGACAAGGGCAGTGGGAAGGAGCCGACTTCCTTCCCCGGGAAACTCGGTTCTCAGTGTGAGACTAGCGTGGATGGCCACACCCTGGTGCTCACGACAACGCAGGTTCTAGCTTCCTTCTCAGAAAACCCGACTCTGGGTTTCCTTAGGCAGCCCAGGTGATTCTGAGGCAAGGGGTCCCCAGGCCCCCGGGAACAGCGGGCGCACCTGGCCTGGAGGAGGAGCCTGAGAGGCTGCAGGTGCGGGGATGTGGGGGACTCCACGGGGGTACCCTCGGCCCTGCTGACCCGGCTTCTCCCCCAGGCATTCTTCTCTTCGTGGATGATGACAACCAGGAGACCTTTCTAGAAGGTGAGCTGGGCAGATTCTCTGCTTAGACTTTAGGTCCCGTGAGCCCTTGACCCCTCTGCATACCCACAAACACCCGCTGGGGCTCAGCTCCCACAGGTCCACGGGGAAACCTTCCCAGCCAGGCTCCTCTCTTAAGTCCTCATGTCCCCCACCTGTGGCCCAGACACAGGCCCCTGGTCACAGGGAAGGCCACCTATCTCCCTTGAGGCTGTGTGTGTGTGTGTGCGCGCGTGTGTGTGTGCGTGCGTGTGCGTGCGTGTGCATACATATGTGTGTGTGCGTGTGCATGCGTGCATGTGTGTGTGTGTGTGTGTGTGCATGTGTGTTGGGGGAGCCGAGACTAAGCCATGTGAGTGATCACTTCTGTTTCTTTTTCCAGAGAAAGAACGATATCAAATAGGCTTTATGGAGCCCATTCCACGAAGCTTCATTCAGTCCAGCAGAAACCCAGGTGGTTACCTCTGCCGGCCTCACCCAAGCCCCTGGGCTCTGGCCTCCTGGGAAAGGGCAGGGGTGGATGGAAAGAGGGGCTCGGGGAGTAGGGGACAAACGTAGAGAAACGGAGTCTTCGGAGACTAACTCGGGTGCGGAATTGAACTCCTCTCCTAGGCAGAGGAGAACATTCCTTCCTAAGAGGTGAGTGTGTGTTTGCTGGGGTGGGGAGGAGCCCTCACTGCATCTGGCGAGCAGGGCCCCTCCTTTCCCAGGGGCGGGACGGGAGGGTCAGGACGGGTCTGGAAGGTGAAGGATGGACTGGGATGGAGCAGAAAGAGGTTAAGAAAGAGGGAGGAGGCCGTAGAGGGCAGAACCCTTGGAGGTGTCTCTAGAGCCGATTTGGAGGTGAGAAGGGAGGCGACCATTTGCCTTTCTCTTTCTAGAAAGAGTTCAGAAACCTTTGGCTAGGTGTCTAATGAGAGGGAACCTGGGGCCTGCTGGGTAGGAAACTGGAGCCTTCCAAGCTGCTGAGGAAACAGCTTCACTTCCACACTGACGCTTTGGTAGCCCTACCTCTCATCAGTCCGTTTGCTCGTTCCCTCGTTCATTCCTGTGTCCGCTCCTCCGCGGAGCCTGCGGCAAACACGTCCTGAGGGCTCACTGCACAGTGGCCCTGTTCCGAGCACCGGTAGGACGGTGACCAGGGAGAAATGCCTGCCTCCACCTGCCTCCTTTCTGGAGACTTCTCTCTCTCAGAAGGCCCCCTAGCAGAAGCAGAGCCCCAACATCCTCTCCTTGGCTAGTTCTTCATAGACCCAGAAGGTACAGGCACCTCTGCGCGGAGGACCGACCACATTGTATCCATAAATTCATACAGTTGTGGTGACAGCCTCCTTTTCGAGTCCAGGGCTAGAATCTTTCTCATCTCTGGAGTCCAGTGTAGAATCCACATCATTTCTGATGTGTCCCAGCAATGAGCACCCGGCCAGGTTCTTCCTCTTCCCATAACCCTTTGCAGAATCCTCTCCTCCTCCCTGCATTTATGCCCTTCCTCATTTCCACGGAGGTTCTCCGTGTCCCAGCCTCTGCGACAGCTCCACCTGCGCTTGGACGTGCCGTCTTCAGAGAGGCTGTGGGGCAGCTGAGAGGGAAGAGGGGCTTTACTCATGTTGGTGGGCCAGGGATGCTCTGATCTAAGAACTGCTTTTGCATCCCGGTTGGCGTTAATGCCGAGGGCAGACTTCAAGTGCCTGCAAGAGGAGGTTTCTGAGAAAGTAAGTGCGGCCCAGCACTCGAAGAACATGAAGGACGTCCTGTTCTCCGGCATCCGGGCCATGCTTGGGGACCGGGAGGCTCTTCAGGACCTCGTGAACATGGTGAGGGGGCCCACAGCTACTGAAGGGGCGTATACATAGGGGGTGTTTCCAAGATGTGCCTGCCAGGATATATGGGGAAAGAAGAATGGGGGTAACCTTAGGGGGAGGAGAAGGGTGTCTGAGGTTGGGGACTGTGCCCCTAAACTCAGGGAGCGCAGCCCTAAGAGACTGAGGGTGCTCATTGTGCCCTTTGGGTACATGGAACCATGGCCTCCACTCCTTGGTTAATCACTTATAGACACAAAATTTACAGGCAAAGTAACATGATAGTATTGTTATTTTTAGATATGTTTTTATTGATTTCAGAGAGAGAGGGAGAGAGATAGAAACATCACTGAGAGAGAAACATCTGTTGGCTGCCTCCTACATGTCCCCTGATAGGAGTCAAGCCTGAAACCCAGGCATGTGCCCCGACTGGGAATCAGACCAGCGACCTCTTGGTGCACGGGATGATGCCCAACTGAACCACACCAGCTGGGCACATGATACTGTTCTTGTCCTCATCACTACTTGTCTCCAACAGCTTGAATGGGAACCCTTGGGTCACATGACCGGCCCTGGGGGCACCATCCTAAATGAACTGCGAGAGGACACAAGCTCTGCACGGGTCAGCTCCGCGCAGCTCATCCTCTACCTGCTGGACGCCATACTGGGTAAGAGCGATTTGGAGGAAGAATGGGGGAGTCACAAGTTTGGGGCCTCCAGAAACCCGAAAGGGCGGCATCAGATGCCACCTCTCCAAGCCCCTTCAAATGTCATGGTCCCCCTCACATCACACGCCTCTAGGTCAGGAGGCGCAGTGTGATGACCCTGCCATGTGGCAGGGCCTGAGGCCTAGAAAGAGCAGCCCAGGCTCATCCAGCGCATCCCTGGGGGCGGGGGGGGGGTGTCCCAGGCTCCAGCACAGAAGCCCACCTTCTGGGCCATGTTAGGGAGCATCCCGGAGACCATCCCAAGAGCAGGACTTTCCAGGCAGGGAACTTGACCGTCAAGTCTAACGAGTTTCATTCCTCTGTCTTAGCGTTCTCCTCTCAAAGGTCTCTTAGTTTATTGTGGGGAGAGGAAAATCTGACTCTCTTTCCCCAAATGTCCCCCTGCCCCCAGTGCTGAGTGACGTCCAACGTGATCTGCTGGCCCAGTCCATGGACAGGAAGATCCTCCTCCAGCAGCAGTATCTGGTGAGAAGTCCCCAGGGCCAGTGTTCCGGGGAGAGGGCGAGGGAGCCAGAGATAAGAACGATTCTGAGAAACGAGAGAGGCTGCTGGGAGGGGAGTGGGGATCCCAGCGTGGCCACTGGGAACACGCGCTGGTCTCCCTCTGGGGAGCAGGCCCAGCGGGCATGAGTCTGCCTGGGGAAGGCCTCAATTTCCATGGCCACCCCTGTAGAGGGCCCCTGCCCCTAGTTCTAAAATAGCCTTCTAGGAATGCAGGTTTGGGGAGCTCAGGAGATCTGAGCTATACCCGGGCTGTACTCACATGGTTACCATTTGCCAATTGTGCGCTCTCTCTCCATGTATGTATATATAAGTACATGTGTGTATAGAATATGCATATACATGTACATGTTGCACATGCGAGCATGCACCTATACGATTCCAAACACCACTGTTCTGCAGGGTGAATGTCAGTGTTATTATCGAGCAGCAGAGGCACCAGCACATGTGTGTATAGAATATGCATATACATGTACATGTTGCACACGCGAGCGTGCACCTATACGATTCGAGGGCTCAGTGATTTCCTCTAAGGTGTCTGTGGTCACACTGACCCCAGACAGGACCAGGACGAGGCTCCACAGCGCCTGCCCCCATGGTTACCCTGCATGACCCCTGGCTCTTGCATCTGAAGGTTCTCTCCTGACCTCAAAGGCTGACCTGTAACATCTGATACTGTTTCTTCAAGGTGAGGAGCATCCTGGAACCCAACTTCAAATGCTCCCAGAGAATTCCCTTCACCCTCCGGCTCATGCTCCTTGCCCCTCTCCATGGGAAGAATTTGGCCATAACCTACGACCTGCTGAATGAGTGTGGCCTGAAGATGGAGCTGAACAGACCCTGGTCAACCTGGGACCCGGAAGCCAAGGAGCCCCTGTGTGCCCTGTACGGGACCCTCTCCGTGCTGCAGCAGCTGGCTGAGCCCTGAGCCTCCCTGGTGGGCAGCGGGGTCGGTCCCAGTCCTGTCCTTGGCTGCAAACACCTCCGAGCTGTTGTCTGTATCTACGAGTCTGTATCTGCAAACACCTCTGAGCTGTTTGTCTGTATCTACGAGTCTGTATCTGCAAACACCTCTGAGCTGTTGTCTGTATCTACGAGTCTGTATCTACTCCACATATAAGTGGTAGACACACTCTGTCTTTGTCTGTTTGACTTATTTCACTTAGTATACGGCCTTCAAGGTTTTCCCGTGTTGTCACAAACGGCAGGGCTCTGGCTGCTGCGTGAGGGAATGGACTGGACGGCGTGGACGTAGTGAGAACATTGAAAGGGTTTCTCTCATTGTCCAGGCACTCCGTGGTCTTGAAAAGTAGACATATTTAGATCTATTTTAAATAGATCCCAGGAATACCTTGGGGATATATCTTTAATCTCTATCGGTATATGGGATCCCCTCTTTGTGCTTCCTCTGTTGAAGGACAGTGATTGGCAGAATTTTCTCATGAATTTCCAATTTATGCCAGAAGGTGGCAGCATCGTCCCACAGCAGGGCGCTTGCTGGTGAGGCCAGGCTAGTCATTGGCTTTGGGACTTTTTGAATGAAAGGCTGTCCCCTCTCTGCCCTCAGCTCTCCTGCCTCCCCTCCCCCACTGCTCCCTTCCTTCCCCTGTAGCTACCTCCCTGCTGCATTAACTTGGAACAGGCTGGGAGAAATGGGGCCATGGGCAGAGAGGGTCGGCACTGGCTTCTAGAATCTTCCTCTTAAACACTACATTGATTGTCTTAAATGACTCCCTTAAAGAGCTCCGGGAGGAAAGACTGAATTATGGGGAATTTAGAGCCAGTTCCAGTGTTTCAGGAAATGTCAGTCGCCTCCTGCGGTTCTGGTGGATTCTGTGATGCGCCCGGTTGGCCCGGTTGGCTCGGGCTGAGCCAGGCCAGCAGGTGAAGCTTTGATCGACTCAGGACGCAGGGCCCATCGTTTCTGACGAGCTCAGCCAGGCAGGTGGGCTGTTTGCAGATCCCGGAGCCTCCTCAACACCGCTGAAAGCAGGCAGGCGGAAATGTTGGGGTTCTCTTTTTGGAAGACAAAGCCGGCCTTCCAGAAGACTCCTGTGAGCCCCGAGATCTGGGGTGGAGGTGGATCACCGCCCTGTGGCCTCCGGTGGATAATCCGACTTCTCTGCACTTCGTTTTCCTCGTCACCTCGGGTTACTGTTGGGCCCATCACGTCTGTAAGGACCTGCCACAGGGCATGCGTACCACAGAGCTGCCACTCCGTCACTGAATTAGACACCAGCGAAGCCCAGCAAGCTGCGCCCCCGCTCTGGTGCCCGTGGGAGGCTTCAAGAGCGGGGCGAGGAGAGAGTCTCTGGTTGGGGACATGGAAATCACTTTTCCATTTGCAGATATTCTTAGGCAGTTGAGCACGTTTAAAAATGCCCCCTAACTCTGGTAACTGGGACCCTGAGCCCGGGTACTGTTTGCTTGCCTGCTTCACAGTCAGGAGTAGAGCGCACTCCATTAGTCGTTTGTGTGTCTGTTAAAGGGCAAGCGTCAGTGGGTCTTTGCATTTGCAACAGTGAGCCCCGGGTTATCGGAGGCTGCTTCACATCTGCCTGGCCCTGGTCGTCACAGAGGGAACCAGGCAGGGCTGTGCTGCCATTATTCACTTTCTCTCATTGCTACAGAGGTGTGTAGCCTTCCCTAAAACTGCCGGTTTCCTAGGAGTGCGTGGACCTGGTGTGGGTAAGGCGGGTGCCCCGCCTTCTTCCTTAGCTTTCTTCCAACCAGCAGGGGGCAGGAGAGTGTGCTAGCAGGCTGCCCCAGGTGTGCTGGGAGGGGGGGGCGGGGCAGGAGGAGGTCAGCCAGTACTGCCCAAGCCAGAAAGGTACTGCGGGGTCATCCTGCCCAGCTGGCCTCTGTGTGAATTTCTCTGATGTCTTTGCTTCAGGAGGTCATCACGACAGTCCCCACGTGGGATCTGGGAATTTAGCTGCCCTGTGCTCGGACTCCTCAGGCTGTGCTTTGTTGACTGTTCGTACCCTGGATACATGAGGCCTTGTATTCCTTGCAGAGGTAGCTCTCTCCCACCCCAGTTCGAGAAACCAATTATGTAAAGAGTGGCAACAGCAATTTTCTATAATTTCTCCTAGTTCCTTCTTAAATGATGATGGTGGACAGTGATTCTTTGTTAAAAAAAAAATTTCTTTTTTTTTATTGGTGATGCTCCTGTTTCTGGGTGTTAATCTGTGTGTATAGGTGTCCATAAAAGATTGGGGACAAGCTTGTCATTAAATGAGTTGATACCCACTGTTCACTGAGATGCCAGGTGCTGGGGATACATGAGTGAGCAAGACACCCTTATGTCTATGTTTTATTAACTGGCATCTAAAAAGAGGTGAAAGGAGATTTGTTATTTATTACATAACAAATCACCCCAAAACATGGCTTAAAATAGCAAACATTTGGCCCTGGCTGGTGTCGCTCAGTTGGTTGGAGCGTTGTACCATAGACCAAATTTGGTGGGTTCGATTCCTGCGCAGGGCACATGCCCAGGGTGTGGTTCAATCCCCCTGGGTTGATCCCTGGTCAGGGCATGTGTGGGAGGCAACCCATCGGTGTCTCTCACATCAATGTTTCTCTCTCTAAAATCAATATTTAAAAAAAGCAAACATTTGACTTCTATTTCCCTGTTCCTGTCAGGAATGTGGCAGTGGCCTCAGCTGGGGGGTGCAGGCTTGGGGGCTCCCAGGTCACTCCAGGCTGACACTGGCAGGGGCCACCTAGGCCGGAGCGCTTGTTTGAGGACGGTTCTCCTGTATGGCTGCTGGCAAGAGGCCTCCGCTCCTTATACTCAGACGGCCTGAATGTCCTCATGACATGGCTCCCCAGAGCAGACGGTGAGAGGAGGGAGGGAGGAGGCGGTTCCATGCCGTCTGTGACCTAGTTACGCGCGCCCTGCCGTGGGGTGTTGGTTGGCGGTGAGTCGCCAAGCCCAGGTCGTCACACGTGCTCTGCCGTGGGGTGTTGGTTGGGGTCCGTCGCCAAGCCCAGCTCGTCGCGCGCTCTGCCGTGGGGTGTTGGTTGGGGGTCCGTCGCCAAGCCCAGGTCGTCACGTGCTCTCTGCCGTGGGGTGTTGGTTGGGGGTCCGTCGCCAAGCCCAGGTCGTCACGTGCTCTCTGCCGTGGGGTGTTGGGCGTCGCCAAGCCCAGGTCGTCACGTGCTCTCTGCCGTGGGGTGTTGGTTGGGGGTCCGTCGCCAAGCCCAGGTCGTCAGCGCGCTCTGCCGTGGGGTGTTGGTTGGGGGTCCGTCACCAAGCCCACCTGCTGCTCGGGCTTCGCTCTTGAGGGCCGGAGACCCGGAGGGTCTGTGCCCTTATGTCAAAACAGCCACGTGTGTATCGTTCTGTTGTTGTTAATCCTCACCTGAGTGTATTTGTCCGTTGATTTTTAGACAGAGTAGAAGGGAGGGAGGGAGGGAGAGAAACATGGATGTGAGAGAAACACATGGATTGGTTGCCTCCAGCACTACCCTGACTGCGGCCGGGGATCAAACCTGCAACCCAGGTACGTGCCTTTGAATGAGAATCGAACCCATGACCCTTCCGTCTGCAGATGACATGCTAACCACTGAACCAAATTGGTCAGGGCTATATCTTTGTTTTCATACATCTTATGAGGTCATGATCCCCTCAGGATGCAAAAGCAGATCCTTGTGCCCACATATTCATTCATTCATTCATTCATTCATTCATTCATTCTACAAATATTTATTGAGCATCCACTACTTGCCAGGAACCCCAGTATTGACATGTTCCTCTTTGTTTCTTCACTGGGACTCTGGAAAAATAATAAAAAAAATACTTTCAAGTTCTGTAAAAATGTGAAAGGCTATTTCCTAGAGTCACCAAAAAATAGATCACCAAGGCAAGGATGCACTCCACCCAGGCACAAACCGAGGTGCCACTGTACCTGATTCAAGTGTATCCTGGGTCCTTTTTATTTTGGAAATTCTTCTGCTTTTGTGCTGGTTGCCTAGCAACCAGAGTTTTGCTCAGTTCGCTCCAGGGGTGTTGGCGCGGAGCTGCTCAGTAACATTGACATCCACTGGGTTTCCTGAGCAGCGCAGACCCAGGGGCCACCTGGCGGTGTGGAGGGTGGGCATCGGGTGGGAGACCCTGGCAGGGGTGGAGTTTGCCTGGGGTAGGGGGAGGGGTGTGCTCACATGGTTCTCGTGTCTCCTATGGACCGCTCAGGCTGACTCGATTCCTATCTGAGAAAGGATCGCATCTGTCTTCACAATGTCCTTGACACATGTTTCAGCAGCACTTTGTGGGCACGGAATGACATAGATAACAGACCTCGGCTTGTTTCCAGGTAAGTCCCTCCCATCAGTGAACTCGCAGTTTCGTGAGTTTCATGGTGAGGCTCCTGTGTGCAGACACTCGTTTTCCTGCTGGTCGTAGGTGTGTGTGCTGAGACAGAGTGGGGGGCGGGGGGGGGGGGAGAGAGACAGAGGGGGGGGGAGAGAGAGAGAGAATATCTTCCTCTTCTTATAAGGACACCAGTCGGACTGGATTAGGGCCCACCCTAATAAACTCATTTTAATTCATTTTGACTTATTTTTTTAAAATTCTGCACCTAAGGATATTTTTCTATTTATCTTCAGACAGAGTGGGAGGGAAAAAGAGGGAGAGAAAGGGAGAGAGAGAGAACCATTGACGTGAAAGGGACACATTGACTGGTCGCTTCCTGCATGATCCTGACCAGGGCTGGGGACGAACCACAACCGAGGTACATGTCCTTGACCGGAACTGAACCTGCAACTCATTGGTCTGTGGGCCGACGCTCGTACTGCTGAGCCAAACCGGCCAGGGCCATTTTGCCTTCATGAAAGGCACTTTCTCCGAATAAATTATATTCCAAGGTACTGGCGGCTGAGGCTTCAACATGTAGATTCTGGTGAGGGGAACCCAGTTCAGTCTAC